ATTAATTGATTTGTCTCATTATTCTGTACATAAAAGTATTTTGGTAAGATTATCGAAAACTAAATATTTTATGAGATATTTTATTTTTTATATCAAAATATGTCAGATTAAGATATAAAATAACTCAAAAAGTACTTAATAAAAAAATACTTTATTATAGTGTTTTGAAAAGCTCTCGAGATAAGCTACAAGAATGCAATAAAAAATGGGGGGTTCCATTTAAGAAAACATCGATCGCATTGACCTCACCTTAAAAGGGTCACTCAAGGTCAAGTCCATATTTTTATCATGTGGCCCCCTCGAAATCATACAACTTTTGTCTGAAACATTTTTTTTGTACATCTCACTCCTTCCGAGATATTTTAAGGATCCGGGAGTTTTCCCCCATCCTGTATGTTTATGTTTAAGTCTTCATATTTTTATATAGGTTGTAAATATGAACATGTTCATAAAATTAGCGTTAAATACGAATAAGCAAAAAGAAAAAAAGAAAAAATCTTTGAAAACAAATATGTGTATATAAGGAAACAAAATGAAACTTGATATATATAGCATTCGCTTCAGCTCATGCGGCAACTTCATACTCGACATAATTCATTGTTTTCCACACTTGCCACACAAGATAATATTAATAAATTGACTGCCGTTTTAAGTGAAAACATTGCATAAACATAGCTTAGAAATTTCTCTTACCTACCAATCATGAGTACATTTTCCAATGAAGAAAATGCCGATATACATTCTTTTTTTATTTTTTTAAATCTCTGGTCTATGCGGATAAGCCAATCAATCGGCAGCAGTTATTAAATAAAATAACAGACGCTTGTAATAATATACGTAACGATGCGGAACTTCTTTCGCGTTCTACAACATCAATAATTCAAAGAGCAGAAGTGTGTGTAGACCAAAATGGTGGTCACTTTGAACAATTTATAAAGTAGTTTATAAAGTAAATTATTGTTTAATTATCGTTTAATTATTGTTTAATTATCAATAAATAATGTTATCTTTAATAAATAATATTGTTCTTATTTTATGCAATTTTGTTTTTTTGCTATAACTTTGAAACAATCGACTTTAAGGCATATGTGTATTAAGACTTTTTGACTTAGAATGACAAAAAGAATACACAGTTTCAGTGTGGACATCACGTTGCGGGACACCCTGTATATATTTATTTTTGTATTTGTTTTATTGACCTTTGAAATGAATAGCTTTTGTGAGTGTTTTTCTTACAAACGATGAATGTAAATCCAAATTAAATGTTTTATTATAATAATAAAGTTTAATTTTTAGAAATATTTCAATGATTAATTTGATTAAAAAGTATATATGATTTTCCATAATTTCGCACGTTTTCATATGTTCTTCAAATTGAAGAAAAATACTAGATATATCAAGATTTCTTATTAGTTTGTTCAATTAAGTGGGTCAAAATATGTTGTTTATGTAAAGTGTTGTTTATTCTATTGATATTGAAAATTTTCTCTGCTGTACATATAATTATGCGTCTTGGCTAGGAAATTGTAACTGCGAATTGTAACTGCGTTGTATACAGGGGGTCTATTACGATTCTCGGATTGGGTGAAAATGACGAAAGTGAGTAACTCACCCAATTACGGTTGATTTCACCTCGTGAAAATACGAGATTATTCGCGTGAGCGGGCTTGACACGAAATTTCACGTAAAAAGGTGAAATCAAGCAATAGTTACGAAAAATGGATAACGTAATGATTGTGATATTTATGCGAAATCGAGAAAATACGATGCTGAGGATACGAAGAAGACTATGGGATGTCTCAGATCCATTTGCGATACCGGAAAACGAATTTCAGTCTTTATAGGTGAGTGACTGAAAATAATTGTATTGTTTATATTATATTTTCAAAAAAACACTTTAAAAGAATAGAAAATTGTTAAATATAGATTTATATATACAGGGTGCGGCATTTATAGTGACGCGGGCATATTTTTCAGAAACGAAGTGAGATATCAAAAAATGTTTCAGACAAAAGTTGCATGGTTTCGAGGGGGCCACATGATAAAAATATGGATTTGACCTTGAGTGACCTTTTCAAGGTGAGGTCAATATGGTCGATGTTTTCTTAAATGGAACCCCCCTTTTTTATTACATATTCTTGTAGTTTATCTTGAGAGCTTTTCAAAACACTATAATAAAGTATTTTTTCATTAAGTACTTTTTGAGTTATTTTATATTTTAATCTGACATATTTTGATATAAAAATTAAAATATCTCGTAAAATATTTAGTTCTCGATAATCTTACCGTAATATTTTTATGTACAGAATAATGAGGCAAATCAATTAGTAAAAAAAAAATAATTGTTTTTAAGAAAAAGTACGTAATTATTTACAATGTATTTTTTAAAACAACTATTTGTTTATTTCTTTACACTAATTGATTTGTCTCATTATTCTGTACATAAAAGTATTACGGTAAGATTATCGAAAACTAAATATTTTACGAGATATTTTATTTTTTATATCAAAATATGTCAGATTAAAATATAAAATAACTCAAAAAGTACTTAATGAAAAAATACTTTATTATAGTGTTTTGAAAAGCTCTCAAGATAA